GGTTTGGATAAAAAAAAAAACCAATGAAAACTGATCCGACTTTTTTTGTTCCGCTAATTCTGCAGCACTGTTCACAATAATAAATAATAAAGCAATAAGTAAATGGGAAAGCAGCATCAGGGAGAGGAGTTTCATTGTCCCCAGGTGCTGTCCGGGTGGCCAGGTCAGGGCTCTGTCTGCAGAGCTCACCGACAGGTCCCTGTGCTCTCTGCCCTGGGGTCCCCATGCAGGGTTTGCCAGGCCCCCCATGCCCAGGTGGCACGCTGACCTCGGCACGGGGGAGACTACTTCACTGGCATCTCGACTTGTGGCTAGTCAGTAGGGGACACCAGGCTTCTGGATTTACCTGGTGTAGTTAGTAATTCTTTGTCTAGGTTTGTGAAGTGCTTTGAGATTCACGGACACAAAGATCTGTGTGAGGAGTTGGTGTTAGTGCAACAGTTGAGTGCAATGACTTCCTCTACCTTGGGAAAGTTGTCTGGGCTGGGTTGCCTTTCCTTCACCCGCTCCCTCCCAGTCTCTTCTCTGGGTGGAGAAGAAACTTTAACTGTGGCTGAGCTTCTCTGCTTTCCATTTTGCTTCCAGACTAATCAGTGGAGCTTCATCTAGGGGAATATTATTGAGCAGGCTGGTTCTTCTGTTGTCAGGAGTGTAAATCTGGAAAAACCTGAACAAAATTCCTGCTTGGTAAATAAACAGCAAATTGAAAGCTCTGCCCTGGAAGGGAGTGAACAGATGACTACTGGAACTTCACGATTGCTGAGGATCTTTCCATTATAGGCTGATGTTATGCTGTTGTCCTGTGGGCAGGGTTAGTGCTGCCAGCTTCTCGCAGCGCAGGGCTGTGTTCTGGCAACAGGCCTGAATTTCAGGTTGATTCGGGAGCGTAGGAAACCTAACTCAGAGTTACTGTATCTTAACTCCAGATCAGTGCTGCCTTCCACCGTGCAGGGTTTCCTGGGGTGTGGTTGAAGGAGTGTATGTTCTCCTCAGCTGGATGCAAGGCAGCTGCCGTGGCAGGATGCGGCTCTTTCTCACTGGAGAAATGTGCTGGGTGCTGAGCTGGCGGTGGGTGCAGGAAGCCCTGGCTCCACTAAGACTGTATCATTTGGGCTCGAGGCTGCTCTGAGCTTCCAGCTGCATGAAGTCGCTTCTGTAAGAACCCAGGCAAGTGCAGTGAGATGGTGTATCAGTGCTCAACAGCTGCGAACAGCCTGACGAAACTCCCTGTCTGCATTTTGGGGGAAGGAGGTGCTCACAGGATGCCACTTGAGTTCTGCTTTCCAGTCCAGGGGCATCTCGTGCATAAGAGGGGATGCGAATCGTGGCAATATGGCAGAGGTTGGAGCCAGGTGATCCTCCTGGCACGTACAGTGAGCCAGAGGGATGGCAACTCTATCCCCTCTTCCTTGCTAACCTCCGTTAGCATACAGGCAGAAATGCTTCTGAAGAAGTCCCTGCTCAAACTCAGCTTCCAGATTCTCAGAAGCTCTCATTGGCCTGGGGGTGCAGGAGTGGGCCATGAGCCACCGCTGAACACCAGCCACGTTCTCTGGGGAGCCAACCGCATCTGCCAGCACAAGGATGGTGAGGCTGATATTGGAGAAGTCATTGGGCACAGAAGTCACCGTGATGGCTTCCCTGCCACTAGTACCTAGGTGGCCTGTCGCAGCAGAGTTTTGGTGTTGGGGGTTTTTACCCTTGTGGTTCCCGAGAGCTGAGACCTGGGGAAGTTAAGACACAGAGCAGAAAGTGCCCTGCCCAGGAGGTCTGTGGTGGTCCTGGGCACTGCCTCTTCCTCAGCACAGTGCTTGCCTTTGCTGCTGGGCTGGCCTGGATCTGGCACCTGCCTGGTGAGCTGGTGGCCCTGGCAGGAAGGAGGGATGGTTTGTAGGCAGCTGTTTCTGTCTGGGCCATTGCCAAAGACAGCTGGGTGAATGGATACAGTGGCCATGTGGTGTCTGCCTCATCCTGCTCTGGCTGGCATATGCTGGGATCCTGCCTGGCAGGGGCAGAGCAGCTCTGGGAGGGCAGAGGCCACCCCATATCTCATGGCAGGATCTCTTCCACCTCTGGTGAGCTAGTCTAGCTCTTTACCTAAGAATAACTGATCTCAGCTCATTATCTGGGGTCCTGTTTTAGACACTACATTGTCGGCTAGGTGCGCAGAGCTCAGATCAAGGAGCATCTTCTTATCACAGGTTCAGCTCAGCTCAACCTGGCGCTTCTAAGTAACAGCAGCAAAAGCCTTTTTAAACTGTTGTTTTTATCCTGCAACCCTTCTCAGACATGCTCCTGGCTTTGCTTTGGTATTCTGCCTATTGAAGCTACCTTTAGTTTTGGGGCTGTCCCTCAGCTTCCCAAGCAGGATGTGCTACCGGGCTTCTAGGAGAACATGCATGTGGTTGTGCCGGTCTTTCTGAGTTCCTCCCAGGTAGACATAGGTGTATGAGACCAAAGACAGTTGGCAAAGATGAATGGGTGATAACAAAGACTTTGTGTTTATTGACATGCTGGAGACTTGTCTGTGCTGGGGCACATGCTGGTAGGAGAAGTGGGATGCAGTGATGGACCAGAAATAGGATTTTTCCTGTGCCACGGTGGCTTCTTTTCCCATCGACACAAAGTGACAAGCTGAGTGAGGTGCTTGCGTAGCATTGCCTGCTGTCCCCTGAGCCCATCCAGCTCCGGTCACAGAACTGGCGCAGACACGGCAGCACAGGCAGCCCCAGTGTGACATGAATCTCCCAGACCCATGGCCGTGCTCTCTTGCCCCATATCCCTCTTCTGTTGCGTTCATGGCCTCGGCTGAGGAGGCTTATGGAGCAGTGGGCAGTGATCTGCTTGCCCAGGTAACACTACGCACCCTGTCCTGGCACTCAAAGCCCTTTGTGCCTGCGCAGCATGGAATGTGCTAGACCTCTGCCAGGCAGTTCTGGTGCCTGGGAGCAAGTGCCCAGCCTGTGGGAATAGGATGTGGTGGTGGGTGGGGGTGACTGACAGATATGTGGGGAGTGGTCCCGAGTAGGAGATGTTTTTCCCAGCTGCCTTGCTGCCTGCCTTCACATGCCTACCTCCCTGCTGCTCTTGTTTGAAAGCCAGATTGGGAAAGAAGCTCTCGAAGAAAGCTGTGTGCCGAGAGCAGGGTGAGCTGCAAGAGCCAAGGGAGTGAGCACAAGGCAGGGTCTGCTGAGGACTCAGCAGGGGACCGGGGCAAGAAGGGAGGTGCAGCAGGCTTGCTGCCCGGGCATGTCTGGGGTGTGTGCTGGCTGCACCCTTGCTTGCCCTGGCACTGTGGTTTGGGGTGCAGGGCGGTACTCTGCCAGCTTGGCCAGAAGCGGGGATCTGAGCTGGCTTGGCCATGGCCACAGAGCTGCGTTTCTGGCGAGATCACCATGGCAGGCGGTGTGGGTCCTGTACTCTCCTGCAGTGCCCAGCCAGTACCTGCGTGGGTGCACAGGCAAGAGGTGTCTGATCCAGCCTCAAATCTGCCAGTATGAGGTTAATCTGCAAAAATGGACTATGCATGGATTTGCACCAGCATCATGTGTTTGTAGTAGATCTGTCTTTTGCAAGGTAGGATGTTAGGATTTTAATAGCATTTTGAAAACCCTACAGCCTGTGTTACTTTGTGGTTAGACCACAGGCATAGGGTCTCGGGGGGAGTTGGGAACGTCTGCATGGCCAATCCCATCACCAAGCAGGAGCTACCTTCAGGAGGAGTTGGGTTCTTGGCAGAGCCTGTGCCACTCAAGCAGGAGCCAGGGGTCCCATGGGGACAGGATGAGGGTAGGTGATATCACTAACTCTTTCATTGCCTGTGCTGGGCTTGAAACAGCATTACCTGAAAGCTGCATGCTTTTTGCCGATGACCGCCGAGGTCCGCTGTTGTTGCTGAAGCCTGCCCTGCCCATACAGAGATATGACCAGGCGCACGGGACAGTGCTTTGCTCAGCTGCTCTCTGCCATATCCATTTACCAGACCACCCTGCAGATAGTCCCATAGAAGTGGTGGTGGTGAGGTTTTTGTTGCAAGCAGCTGGTGGCCTCATCCTTTCCTCTGTTACAGGCAGTGATGCTAAGGCTGCTGGGCAGTCCCAGGGAGATGGTGGCCATCCAGGAACTGGGGACTCTCGGAAGCATCAGAGGGGACGCGCAGAACACCGGAGACACACCATCACCAACGGCGTGGACTTCAGTATGGTAAGGGGACAGCCCTGTCATGGGCTCCAGCGAAGGGGCCTGCAGTCCCTGGGGGAAGGTGGATTGCAGGTGTCCTTTGCTGCTGACACCAGATCTGGTTAGGCTGTGGCTCTGCCCTGCCCGTCTTGGACATGTGAGGGCAGGTCCTGATGTTTTTGGTACAAAGCTCTGTTGATGCATGTGGAGATCCTACCGTTACTTCCAAGGTGCTTTCAGGCCCAGATTGTGCTGGAGAGGCAGGAGGCACGTGTTCTCCTGCCTTCCCCCAGAGTGGGGTCAGCCCATGGAGTCAGCGTTCGACTGCCTCCCCATGAGCAAAAATTTGGCAGGGAAAGACAAATGCATGTGTGTAGGAGCAGGGGGGTCTCCAGGCCTCTCAAGCATTCCAGCAAAGGTCAGGTATGCTCTGCGCTGGTGAGCAGTGGTGCTGGGCTGTCCCCTGCCAGATGTCCTCTGTAGGTTGGGGCTCAAACATGCTGATGCTTCTGGGTCCCAAGAGACTTTTTGCCGGTAATGCAGAGAAATCAGGAGTGAATTTAGCTGGGTGGTCCAGGGTGAAGGGATCAGCTTCCCTCTCTCCATCCCTGAGTGGAGAGGCTTGGATCAGATTGGTTTTGCACTGTTCCCAAGTGGGATGGAGAAGCTGCCTGGGCATGTTGCCCACAAGCTCAAGGTAAATTTTCCTGGGAAGAGAGCCAGGAGCCAGCCTGCAGTGTGAGTGATTAGTGGGATTAGCTTTGGCCAGTGTTGGAGCTGCTTCCCAGGCTGCGACAGTCATCTTTGCACTTCCAGCCCTCGCACCCTGGTGTCACCCTGCTCCCGGAGCCCAACAGGACTGACTAGCGATGTGGGCAGCATCGAGTACCGCTTGGCACTGGCCGTGGTTGACACAACATGCTCTGATGCCTGGCCTGGGGAGCAGGGGTTCGTGCACACATGGTTTGCTGGACTTGTGGCCATGCAAGGGGTTGGGGTGCTCTTGGTCTGAGGGGGTCTCTGCTGAAAGGTGCTGGCAAGGAGCAATAAATGTAGATGTTTGTGTTTGGGGATGGGAGTCTCGGGTTTGGTGGCTTGGAGGTGCTGTTTTGGAGGAGGGAAGGTCCCTCCTTCCCTGGCAAGATTCCACCCTGTGCACGCAGCTCTAGTCTGGAGTCCATCACTGCTGTGAGCTCCAGGTCCAGTCTGGTACGGGTGAGGAGAGGCTGGTGGCCAGCATGTCTCGCCAAGAGCTGGGGTTTGTTCCCAGCTCTGCCACAAGTGCTCTTGCTCTGGGCTTGTGGTGCCCTTGCCTCTGTTTCCTCAGGTTGTGGGGGCAGTGGGAGGGAGGTTCTCTGCCTTTCTTTCCCCTTCCCCATGTACCCAAGTGCTGCACTGCCATCCGCGTGCTCCTCTCTCCGCAGAAGGGATGTCTGTCCCTGTTCTGCAGGTGAGAAGCCTTCCCTGGCATCCCGGCAGGAGTCTTTGGGTACCAATCCCACTTCTGAGCATACAGAGGCAGTTGGAGCAGGTTTGAAACCAGCAAGGACTGAAACTCTGTGCAGGGCGGTGCTATCACCTCTCTCCTGATGCTGGGAGGCTGCTGGGTCCCGCAGAGACAAGGTACCCAGCTGTGATTCGGCTAATTTGCCTAAAGCCTGTGATGGTGATGGGGAAGCAGTGATCTCCATCCTGCATCCCCGGGCAGCACGGCGAAGGGCTGGGGGCTGTGCTGGACCCTTTGCACCACCACAGCTGGTGTCTGCTCAGCTGGTGTTTTCCAGCCAGTCCATCATTGATTGCCCTGATTTTCCTGTGGCCACAGGGAGTAGCTGAGACGAGACCTTCTGTGAGAGGCTGAGTGCTTTCATTTGTAGGCGGCCCAGGCTACAGTCCCCTCCCCTTCTGCCCCTGGTAGCACCAGCCAAGTCCAGCGCTCTGTCCTTCCCCTGCCCCAGAAGCTGCCTCTGCCCCCAGAGCATCCTTCCTTTGAGATGCCGTCTGTCCCTGCACCTGGCAGAGCTGGTGATGTCCCACTGCTCTGTGGGATGCTGCCACTTCCTCCAGTCACTGTGCTGGCCAGCAAGCCTGGTGGGACCAGGGCAGGCCAGACAGTAGTGGGCTGCAGCCCCAGCTGGGTGGGTGTTCTTGCCACGTACAGCACCTTCTTCATGCCCCTCAGCAACAGCCTGCATAGCACCAAGGCTCTGCGCTTCTTCCTGTGGGTATGTCCCCTTTGGTCCTCTGTCACGTCACGCGTGCATGGCGGGGGGGGGGTGGTGCTGTCATGTTGCAGACTGCATTTCCAGGTGCTGTGGGAGCAAGAGGGCCCTGGCATAACAGGTGGCTGGTGTGGGGTGGTTGGGAGGCTTCGGGGTGGGCAGTGGGGATGGGGAAGTGCTGTCAGTCTGAAGAAGGTGTTAGTATGGTCACACTTGTCCCCGGGGGCAGGGATCTGTTCAGGGTCACTTCTGAGCTGAATCGTCCTCTTCCAGATGCTCCCCAAAGCAGCAGGAGAGGTTTCTGAGCATCCAGCAGTTTCTGGGTGATCAAAGTCCCACTGGTGCCTGAAGGAGACTGTCCTGGAGCCTAGTCTGTACCACAGGTGGTAGAGGCCAGACTGTGTTGTGGCAGAGAAGGTGGAGGCAGTAAGGCAGGCAGCTCCCCGTGCCCGGAGGAACAGGCCGGCACAGCTTGGGAGAAGAGGAGCAGGAGCCCTGGGCTCAGCAGGTGAGGGCTGGTGAAAAGGTCGCGGCACCGGTTGCTCTCTTCCCCAGGGATGTCCCCTCTTCTTTTGCCACCTCTGTGATTGCCAGTGACAGCGCAGTGCTGGGGGGTAACAGGACGAGAAGGCGGCAGCAGAGCAGGAGACCCCGGTGTCCCTGGGGCACAGACCACTGCTCCAGCCCGGAGGGGCCGAGCCCCCTGCCCTGCAGCAGCCTTGGCTGTGCCATGTTGTGGTGCAGAGTCCTGCCCTTCTTGTCCCGGGGGCTGCTCTGGGGGCAGGAGCCCCGTGCACCCTCATAGCAGCCTTCCAGTTGCATAAACTTCCTAGTCCTTCTCCAGGTGATGCTGGTGCTTGAAGGTGAAAGACTGGCAGAGACACAACAGAAAGGTATGCTGTGTTCTGCTCAGCTCGGAGGTGCCTTGGGGGTAAAGCAGAGGGGGGAGCAGAGCGCTAGGGAAACAGGGCTGCAGGTTTTTCCCAGCTTCCAGTCTGCACATTTAGCTCAGCTACTTGCCACTCTCCAAAAGCCGTGTGTGTTTGTGCTGCTGGCTGCTGCTCGCAGCCTTGGGAGGATTTGGGGAGTGGCTGCAGGCCCTGGTCTTGCTGTGTCCCTGGATAAATATGAGGTGGACAAACCTGTTTATACAGTGGGGAGCAGGAGAGTGGAGGTGCCCTGACTGTCCTTCGCCTGCTTCGGTTCTTCTCCCATACCGAAGAACTCTCCCTTCGGAGCAGCACCAGGCAGCAGCCATCATCCTGCTCCTCTGTGGCTTTCCATGGGGAGAGGGGCTGAGACCTCTGCCTGTGACCATATCCCTCTGCGCCTCGTGAAGAAACCAGCTCCTGGGGCGTGACAAGGCCTTGGTGGGGAGAGGGTGACATCTGTGCATTCTGTCCTGCAGCTGAAGCACATGAAGGAGCTGGAACAGGAGAAGGATTTCTTGCTGCAGGGTCTGGAGCTGGTAGAGCGCACGCGGGAGTGGTATCACCAGCACATCCAGCTCATGCAGGAACGCCAGAGGCTCCTGGGGAAGAACAAAACCAGTGCTGTGAGTCTGGGGCTTGTTCTTGGGGTGCCCATCTGCCTGGGGGTGGGTCTGGGGTTGCTCAGTTGGAGAAATGGGCTGGGACTTGGCTGGACCTGGAGCCAGCCCCATGGTAACCTCCAGCCTCTTCTTCCTCCCTGTGCCCCAGGACTTCCTTCCCGAGGGCGGCCTGGGGCGCCTGGTCCCCAAGCTGCAGGAGGTGAACCGCTGCCTGGGTGACCTCCTTTCCACTGCCAACAAGGTGAGAGGCACATTAACAGCATGTGGTTGTTTGCGAGAGGTTGAGACCCATCCTGTCCCCCACTTATGATGGTGACAAGGCTGACATCGGGGCTGCCAGAGTTTACCCGGGCTCTGGGGAGGTGACACAGCTCTGTGGGCAAGATAGGGGATAGGGTCGGCCAAAAAGAGAGCACAGCTGGTCCCACGCTGGACTGGACAATGCTCAAGGCATTTGGGGGACTAAAGAAGATCCCCAAAATGTGTAGCTGTTGTCAAGTGAATAAGAAAACAGTCCTGCTGAGGTGCTGAATCAGCCCTCTCAGAGCTGGCTGTGCTGGCAGGAGCTGGGCATACTGGCAGGGA